TTGGTTTCTTATAGTCAGTGAAGATCTTTTCTGATCTACTCTATAAATGCATATTTTACTTTCATAGAAACCCAGAAAGTGAAAATAAAATATGAATCCTCATGAAGTATTTACTGATATTATTCTTAAGAAACAAAGCAACAAGATAAAAACTTTGATTCTGAGTAAGAGGGATTCTGAATAAGAGGGATTCTGTAACTCAAGACTATCAAGACATCAGAAAGATTAGTTCTGTGTAATGTAATTAAAATCACCTAGCTGAATGGAAACCATATAGTGCTTATTATGTGGTAAATTTAAGCATAATTTTGTATATACCTAGATTACTAGTAAGTATTTGATGAATTTTGTTAAGTAATCCATAGTGCTGAGTTTAGAGCAAGAAGCAATCAGTGGTTACACATAGTGTTGGGTTACATTAGCAAGAGATAAGGAATAGATATGGGAAGCTGTGAATGCCTCTCTCATTAGTTTTCATTTTTTTTTGCAGTGCAGAGCCATGGATGACTCTGGAATGAGGGAGGTGCTTTGTGAAAAGCAGCAATTTGGAAAGTTAAATTTGGCAAGTTAGTAAGATGGATTGGAACAGATAGAGATAAATTACATACAACTCCCTTCCTAGAGGTGATTTTTTCCCCTCTTTGTTCCTCTTAAATCAGATACCTACTTTGTTTCCTTTTAATCTTTTAAGTGGTATTCAATACATGCTACTTGAATTGTTACTTTTTGTACTTCCTTTAAAAGTAATTCCAAAGTAATTTTTGCTGTTTTGAATGTTGCTTTAAAGGTAATTTTAATGTTATTTTCTTGAGTCTGTTTTCTGTCCCCAAATATATTGTGTCTTGTGAATTGTGACCATTCTGTAATGTTATGATAGTAGATGACACAATGAAATACTTTACTCATTCCCTCAACTATCTTGTGAAGAACTTTGAACTCAGCAGTGTAGAAGCACATGCACCCTCAGTCAAAATGGTCTTGGAGAATCTCCCTTTATTCTTCTGTAGGGGGTCAAAGATAAACACCACATTGATTTTAATAATTATTATACTTAACTGAAAATTATAAGAATATCATTTCCTTGGCCTTTTCTTTTGTAAAAAATGAAGATAAATTTATAAACTAGCAAATAAAATCAGGTTTCTTCCACTTTGCCCTCTTTCTCTTCTTACCCCACACCCAGCCCCACACACTGCAGATTGAAAGTCATATTTTTAAACTTGTTTTTGTTGAGTTGTTTTTATTAGTATCTGTCACATATTTTTGACTGACACATTTCTTGAACAACACAAGAGGCCTTCATGCAGAGCCTGCTAAACTTTAAAGACTTGTTTCTTTCTTCAAAGAAGTCAAATTAATAATTGTCCCAAGAGAAGCAGGAAACTTCTGGGTCTTGACAAACTGGCAGGGAGACTTGGGCAGTGCCTCCCTCTAGCCTGGAGGCCGTGCTGATTTGATTCACCAGTCCCCACAAAATTGAAAAGCCTTCTTTTGAATGGCAGCCTGCCACCAAACATGTTTGTCAGTGTAGGCACTGATGCAGAATAGCATTTAGGAGGCAAGAAAACAAAGTTGAAGAGGAATGGCTATGCTGGAGGGGGAGAAGGAAGGATGGTGGTTTCCTGTACTCCTGTGAGGACATGCAATTTCATTAATTTGTGGAAGGAATATAATTAGGATATCTTCCACACCAAACAACCTCTGCTTAATCTACCTTTATCTTATTTGGGGAGGGATTTGTTTATGTAATTGTGGTTGGTAATGGCAAAATAAAAAGAACCATAAAAATAGTTGTATTTATCTTTTAAGGAAAGTCATAAAATTGGTGTTAAGCATCAGTGATCAAAAGAATAAGAAATTGCTCTTAGTGTGTCTAGTAAATTGAGAGAATAGGTGTTAACCACTAGTGTCATGTACTTGAATTTCCCATCCATTTGCACCTATTTATGTTATGGATTGATAGTGGTATTTCCATGGCTGTTGTTAAATTTTCATCCCCCAGTACCACATCCTGTTTTCTGAGGTTGATAACAAGAGCAAAACCTGAAAGCATTATGACTTAAAACCTATGTTATTTAGAAACCATCTATTCCTTTCTGGCTTTATTTTTATTTTCAATTTGTATAATAAGCAAAGGTAATTAAATGGAATTACCTTTACTTAGGATTATACTCATTCTTGGAATAGTAATATTTAGCAAATGTATCATAAGAATTCAGGGCTTGTGATATGATGCCTAAGGTTATCATCACTAAATATTAGCTCATTACATAAGTTGATTGTCTCCAGAATTTTAACAATAATAATTGGATTACGGATGTACTGCTTCTTACGGAGAACAAAATACTCATTCCCTGTCTAATCTTATGTAATACAATTTATTTTTTGAACAAGTAAACTTGACCATATGAACATTTTGCTAGATAAAGTGACATGACTTTTTTGAAAATTTGTGATTGCTTTCTAATACTTCCATGATTACTGGAAGACTCATAATTTGTAGTATAAAATAGTTACTATGCTTAATTGTTTACTAGAAATTAATACTTGGATCTGATGTTGAAAACTTTTTGAATATGCCCTACCACTGAGCTACAGCCCCCAATCCTTTGTTTTAGTTTTTATAAATATTATATGCCCAAAATCATCATAAAATATTTTTGTTTATAATTCTTCATGTGGGTTTCTTAAAGTTTAATAATACTTTGAAGTATTCTGCTAATCATATTAAACATATTTTAAGCTGGGCTTGGTGTACATACCTGTAATTCCAGTACTTAGGAAGCTGAGGTAGGAGAATCATGAGTACAAGGCCAGCCTAGGCTACAGAATGAGTTAAAGGCCAGCCCAGGCTATGTAGTGAGACCTTGCCTCAAAAAAAAAAAAAAAAAACAAAAAAAAAAAAACCCCAAAAAAATGTTTTAAAAGTTTAAAATCTACTCAAACTTTATGATAACACTGCTTTTCACATGCTGAATTCTATATTAAAGATTTCATTCTCAGATTTTAGGTAAGGGTGTATAGCCATTAAAGTAGGGAAAGGTTCACATTGTGTTAACATTTCACTCCTGAGGCAGACCAGAGACATTGACTCTGCAAAGATCGTTGTGCCTGGATAGGAGTGTTGTTTTATTTTATTTAAAGAATTCTGAACATGACTATTTTTGTGTATCTTTAAACATATGGCATAAAAATTGACTTGAAATAAGCATAAAGAATATTCAACTCTTTTTTTTAAAAGCAATTACTAGATAAGTATGTAAAATTATTTAAATATCTACATTTGATACTGTAAATCTTTTGTGGATTGTTTGCTCCAATTGAATTGAGCTTATAGTTTCTTATACATATATATAATTTCTGAAAAATAGATAGTATGATTGTTTCTGACTAGATTGAAAGCTTACATTTGTATCATGGTTTAAACTAGTTATAAATTCTGTTTTATTGTATTCAGGCACATTGCTTTCATATGGCAATTTATCACATGAATGTATGTGAAATTTCTTCATTTATTAAATTTCAGATTTTGTATTTCAAACCAGAGCAAGACTTAAACATTTTTCCATAAGTATAGCTTCAGGTAAACAAGCAATTTTAGTCCTGAAAATAGCTTCTGCTTCTGTCAACACATTGTTTATTTTTTCTCTGAGATAAAAAGTTCAGTTTTCTGATATTTGTACCGAGATAAAGTCAGTAAACAAGATTAATATCGTGTGGAAAAGGTTGTCAGCAGCCCTGGCAAAGGAAATAAGTTGCCTGTACATAGAACATACTGTAAACTGAATAAAAGTGTCAGGTCCACCATGAGATAATGTGATCATGAACCTCTAACAAAGCATGACATAGGCACAGTCGGCTTTTCTCATAGCCACAGTGTAGAAAATGGATTACTGTATTCCAGGGATACCCACTGGAATAGCATGAAAACCACATTCCGAGATGAATGCAGGATGTGGTCCTGGAGTTGAGCCACATTTACCTGCAGTGTACCGACCATAGGCTTATTAATGCCATTATCTGTGCACATTTCCAATATTTGCATTTCTTGGAATTCCAGAGTCTGTGCTGGCATCTTTGTTACCCAAGGGATATAGGAAGAAAGACATTTTTGAAAATGTTCCCTTTCAGAGGCATTTTATTTCCTCACTATTCTGTTTAAAAATTCTACTCTATTCAAATGGTGCTTCTGTAATTAAAGATGGATCTTCTGTGTTATGAGAGAGCCTAACTTAGCATCTTTTGTTGTGAGTTTGTGCCTTACCATTTGTGATGGTAGATTCATTCATGCCTGGTGCTATTTTTTCATTCCCTTTGAGAAACTTCCATAAGATAGGCAGGCCTTGCAATTATTTTAAAAATGAGATTACTTCATCAAAAATTTATTTGAAATTTTCTTTATAAAATTTGTAATTTTATTTCCAAATAAAGAATTAAAATATTTTTCTTTTTTAGGTAAAACTGCATTTCATACAATATAAGCACAGAGCTAATTCCCAGTGTTGTAGAGAAACTATAAAATGGTTATTCACTACCTCCTTTACCAAAGTTCTTGTATGCATTTGAATTTAATACACTGTATATATTCTTTATATTTAGGAACTAACTACAAATACATTGGTCCACAGAAATAATCATCCCACCAACTCCAATCAAATGAAACTGCCTTTTCACATAAAATTAAATGCATGTGTAATTGGTCAGTATTTGGAAATAAGATTCACTGATCAGTTCCTTACGAAGGATATCCACACTATTGTAAAGATGCTTTAAAAATAGTCTTTAAATAATTGGGTGTGCTAAACCCAAAAGATCCTTCTTACCAGGAATTAAGTTATACTTTTGGTCTATGCAGTTTTGTCTTAGATTTGAGAATGAATGTTGTTGATTCCATTTTTGAATGATGTCCTGATGTCCTCAAACCACTGTGTCCCTGTCATCCACTGTCTTTTTGCAAATCAATCTGTGACTTAACTTTTTGTTTTCAAATCTCTCTACAGATGCCCACTCCTGGCCCTGTCAGTAACAAGAGGATGGTTCACTTCTCCCCAGACTCCCATTGCCATGAGTAAGTGCTCATTGTATTCATATAGCTTGACTGGGTCACTGCTTTAGGGAAATTGGTAGTGATTGCTGGGAAAGTGGTTTAATTTGTGTTTATCTTTTTAAAAAGTAAATATCACATACCAATGGTAATTGTGTAAAAACAATTTAAGTGAAACTCATGATAGAAATTTAAGTAAAGATGATTAAATATATTTTTGTGAGAGTTTGACACTCATGCCTTTGTTGAAACTTGTGTATTATCTGAAAACATTTAACTGTCCATGCCACTGAATAGCATCAAGACCTTCTACTCTCCCATCTTTTCTTACTCGGTGCCCCAACCCCTTTGAGGTACTAAAATGAAGAGTAGCTGGTTTTCACATTACTTCTCCACTCTCTACTCCTGCTTTGTATTTGTAAGTAATAGTAAAGAGCTGTGAAGGAAACAGAAGACATGTCTCTTGAGCAAGAAAACTACTAGGCAATTCTTTAAAGTTGAGCAGTTTAGCTTTGACTCTGGTAAATTATTGATGGAATTTCTACATGCTAATTCTACTTCTAAATAATTTTGTTAGAAAAGCATAAGTTACATGTTTTAGTTCAGTGTCATATATCTCCTATGAAGTTGGTTGAAACTGAGGAAGGCCATAAAGTTTTGAATACATTAATTAATTATCGGATTAATTTTTTTCTGGCCTGCAATCATATTTGCATTCATTAGTTTCTATTTGTTTAATTTACTTGTTAACAAATATAAAATAGAATTCGTTGTTCAGATGTAGCAAAATGGTATCCCACAATCTTCCCTTTTGCCTTCCTAATTGCATATTATCCTCTGAGACCATCTCTGTCTTTTTTTCTCTCAGTCAGGAAAAAAAAAACACAACATTTTTTAAATCTCAGAATGACAACCAAAAGGATTTTTAAAAATATTTTCTTCTTAATTTTCTATTTTGATAATATCAGGCAAGTAAATTTAGAGATTTTTTTAAAGAAAAATTTTTATTTGGTAAAGAGTTTAAATGCTCTGTGGGCAGACAAATGTTCTGTTTATTGTCACTGAGTACAGTTCCTGGCATATTTTAGACAGTCAGAAATAGTTGGTAACTGAATGAAGACCTGAAGGTGTGAATTTAAAATAGGGCAAATTGAATGATGTCAACTGGAGTATTCCCTCTAAATTAGCACACATGACCCTTAGTGTTCCCCCCACATCCCTTCTATCTCATTCTCCCCAGTAGTTCTCAAAACAATTAAATAAAATCTTCCAGGGTGGAACCCAGGTAATGCCAGTTTGTTCAGATTACATTGTCTCAACACGCAGGACTTCTGCAGTATTTTGTGCTGACCCCTTCTCTTCCATTTCCTCCTTCATTACCTTAAAGAAAGTTCAGGTTTTTTTCATCTCATTATAGGATCCTTGTGGATCTTTTTCCCTCTGGCCTTCCGCTGTTTCAGTTTATACTACTTATTTCTGCTACTCATGTTCTGTTCTGATCACTTTATTCCCTCACTTAAAATCTCCTGTCCAGTGCATGAACCTCAAGACATTGCTAAGCGCCCTGCACAATCTAGCTTTGATAAACTTTTCACCTTACTTTTCATTCTCCCTCATAAATGCTTTGGACCAACTAATGAGTATCACCTATACTTCACTGCTCTCTTTACCTTGGGATTTTGCTCATGCATTGTATCCTACCTGTACCTACCAAGATCCTATTTGTTATTCAAGATTTTTAAAAATTTATTTATCAGAATGTACTAGAGCAATTAACAGAATACACAACTAGCAGTAGCTTAAGCCAGAGGTTTTTTGAGTTTTGCTTCTTTTTGTGTTTTTGGTGTTGGTGTGTTCTTCTTTTTCATTTTCGCATGTAGAAAGTCAGGGAAAGGAGTGTGTTTAGTACAAGTTTAAGGCCCAGACTATTTCTGTTTTCCACCTTATTATCTATATTCGTTGTTAACATTGCTATAGCAAAGTACTGCAATCTGAGTGCCTGATACAACTGACTTTATTTTCTAACAGTTCTGGAGTCTGGAAGCCTGGGTGTTGGCAGGGTTAGTTCCTTTTGAAGGCTATGGGGGAGAAAGTTTGTACCTGCCTCCTTGTACTGATGGGTTGCCAGCAATCTTTGGTGTCCCTTGGCTTTTGATGCATCAACTCTGTATTTGCCTTTATCTTCACATGATATTCTTATGTATCTTTGTGTCCAAATTTCCCCTTTTATAAAAACATAGACACAGACATTTAAGAACATTTTAAAAGATCATACTGAATTAAGGCCCACTCTAATGACTTCATTGTAGTTGGGTTATTCATATAAAAACCCTGTCTCCAAATAAGGTCATATTTTGTATTACCAGGTATTAGGACTTCCAACATATCTTTGGGGGAAACAATTCAAGAATTATGTTATGATACCATTCTTTCATTCTTACCTTTTTCCCCCTTATGTTCACATACTTATAGCCTCACAGTTGCAAGATAACTGCTTTTGGCCCACATTTCATGTCTGCTTTGAAGAGGGCAAGACAGTCCTAACAGCTCTCCTGTTTCACCTTCTATGAAGAGACCTGGCTCCCCTTTATTTTCATTGGCCAGAACCGGGTTGTTTGATTGCCCACATATGCCAGAAATTAGGAAAGCAAGAGCTAGTTGTGATTTACTCAAGTCTGGCACATAGTTACCCCTTAACAAAGAAGGCTAAGCAGAATACTGTTAACCAAGTAGCTACCGACAACATGTGTCATATGCAGCTCATGGATTCCTCCAGATCTATACACTGTGTTCTGTCCAAACTTATACATCATATGCAGAATACCCTTGCCATCTTCCCCAGAAGTGACTTTCTTCAAAGTCCATGCAATTACTTCTCTCTGAAGACCTCATCCAGAACCTCTGAGGGACAGGAAGTTTTGACCAGATCTGGCTTGTAGCATAGTGGTACAATACAGAATTGTGGAGAAGGCCAGCCATCTCAACTAAATCTCCCATTCAGGAAATGGGATGCCACTCACACATCCGCTTAGGCAGGCAGTCCTCCCGCTCTCACCTTTCTCAGAGGACCTGCCTTGTCATACATCTTCCTAAGACCACAGCTGATAGGTTCATTGCAGCAGATGTTCTTCCAGGGTACTGGGTAGATTTAGCAGCCCATTTCTTTCTGGTGAAATCCAGGGCTTTGTCATTTCCCTTTAAGGAGTTAAATAGTTACAGATTGTTAGTAACAAGGTAATTGTTTGGGCACTGGAATCTCTTAAAAGTTTAGTTGGTTTCTCTTTCACCGTTCCATGCTAGAGAATCTGCTGGCCTTGACGTTCTTCCTGTGCCCCTACTTAGCCCCTACTGCAAAGGCTTCTGACCTGAAGCAACTGGAAACAGTGTCCAGTCTTGAAGATGTCTTTGTTGATAGGTTCTTCTTTATCAGGAAAGTTCAACGGCAAGGTAATCAAGTCTGAACTAGAGGCATAACTGAATAAATCCTGTCACTCGCAAGTAACTTGATTCTGGTTCCAGACCATTGCCTGTGTTCCAAACTTGGTTTTGCAACCTGTGATTCCCTATTATGAAACTTTCATTCAATTTAGAATGTAGTTTTTAGGCTCTTTTAACAAATCTTTATTTCCAGCTCTGTCTTAAGGTCTGTCCCTTACCTAGGTAAAGCCTCTTGGGAGGGAGAAGCCATAGGACATGGCATAAGGATTCTGTTTTGTACAAATAATCACACAAATATCTTTGTTCACACACACACACACAGTCTCAGTTTGTTACCTTAAAATGATATCCTTTTAGGAATTAGCCTGTCTCTTTTAAAACTGATTCCATTTTCCTTCATTTTGTCTCCTTCGTTATGAAAGAGAGAAACCCAATATCTGAAAATTTCCTTTAACAGAAGAATGTACATGGTTTGTGAACAAGGTATGGCTAGGGATAGTTTTAGTTGTGTGCTTCCCACTTTCTAGCTTGAGTAAGTGGGTCCTCCCTTTCTCTTGCCTTTCTCATGTTCAACCTGCTCCCTAGATCTGATAAGAAACTGGTTCTTTCCCCACCCCAATTTCAGCATGTCATAGTAGGAAAACCAAGATATAATAATCTCCAAGAGAATAATGGTGTCATGGTCAGCAGTACCTTTAAGCAAGCCAATCTCTAATCCTTTGCTTCCACCTATATATAAACTTCTTTCCTGAAATTCATCGGCCATGGTTATTTGGCTGCTGCTGTTTTTTGTTTTTTGTTGTTTGTTTTTTTTTTACAACTACTTTTCTCTTGATTTAGGGAAAAAAGGACAACTCCCATCCTGATCTTACTTTGATGAAGTATAAAAGCATCTTGAGTTCCAGAGAGACATTCTAAATACTGTACTGGTATTCATTGATGTTGAGGGATTGAATTTGATGATTAAAGTCACAAAGCATTTTGCAAATTTGGTAGGTAGTTTCTAATTTTTCTTTTTAGCAACTGATAGATGAATAAAAGTGCCTCTACCTCTAGAAATCATATATGTAATTTGGCTTAAAACTCTGGAGGAGTTCAGATAATTAGTTGGTAGTGAGCAACTTCTCTAACCAAATTCCCCTCATTTCCATTTATCAATAGTGTAAATAGTTTCTGAACACTGAAATCTGTAAAAATAAAACATAGATGCCAAAAACAATTTTCATCAATGAATACATGAGCTAATTTGGGGGAAAATCTCATTAATGATGCCTTTCTAATAAAAGTTTACATTGTAGGTATAGTGTTTCAAGATATATCCATGCTACTTTAATTAATTAAATATGATTAGTCACTGCTGCATTTTTTAAATGGCTAATTGTTGCCAACAACCAACCAATTGTCATCAGCATGGTCCCACTGATACACCTTTCAGAATAATTTTTTTAGTTTACTGGTTTTTTAGTCACAGAAACTTAGGAAAATTTTGTGTTTGTGCATAAGCACATATTTTCATTGCAGAAGAATATGATAGGGTAACTAATAAAAGGCTTTGAAGCATAAAAATATATTGGGATGAATTTCTG